GACTTGAACAAACCCTTGAGGTTACAATAACAGATATTGTGGATATTGTATGATTGAAACAAACCTAAGTCATTGATTTGACATGTTCTTTAACGTTTCCAGAGTTCACTTTGACAACTGTTGTGAAATGCTAGCACTCTAACCTGACCCACGCGGGTCAAGTTAGGAAACCACCATTTTATTCTTTATATGGAGAAAAGTTTTGTTCCTTTGACTGTCTAATATATTCATTTTGAGGGCATTTACAGAATAATGAATGAAAAATTCAAAACTAAGAAATGAAAATTTTGCCTGTGTCTCCCTTTAAACAGAATGCAATTAGGTGTTGTTCGTTCTTTTTTGATATAGGCAGACCGATACTATAGAAAGGAAATTTTTTTTTGAAAAAATTTCCTTCCAATTAATATGGTTTATTATATATCATAGACAAAAACTTCTAAAATTATATCAGAATTAATGTGGTTATCATATTAGAACTAGAGGATGCTTTTGTAAAAAAGCGCATGTCTCCCCCACTGCTGAGAATAACTGTGAATGGAAACAGGAATGGAAATGGAGATAAGATAATGTAAATACCCGGTAGTCACTTCAATGAAGGCTGTCTATGGATGGTTTCTATTGTTAAGGTTGTATGAGAAGATGCTTCCTAAACTGTTTTTTTTAACCAGGTATTCAATTTTGAAAATCCTGGTTATTCAATCAGCGTATGGCAGGCGGGCGTCAAACGAAATTGCACTTGATGGTCATATCATATATAGTTTCACAAATGAAATTAAATGAAATTGTGTCTGCTCCATAATTCTTCAAACCTTTAAAGGATTTTGATGATACTTGAAACAAACGTTCATATTGTCAGATTTTTTTACACTATTGAAAGACAACTCAAATTACAATGTATGTAAAATCATGATAACTGTAGTGTGTTTGGATGACTCCACTCGTTTTCACAATGAAGCCTCTCTGGTAGATACTTGAAACAAAAATTCACCACATCCAGAGAACGTGTAGAGTACATGTTTCGTATGGCTGGTTCCAAGGTCAAGGTCTACTTGACACTTGAATGTCATATCATATATAGTTTCACAAGAAACTATGAAGTTTTTTTCCTATGAAGTTTGAGGGTTGTAGGTCTAAAGGAACTCTAGTTATCATCTGGAAAGGAGAAATTAACCAACGGTCGCTGTGACCTTGACCTTTGACCTACTGACCATTAAAACAATAGGGATCATTTGATTAATAAGACCAATCATCCTATGAAGTTTGAGGGTTGTAGGTCAAAAGGAACTCTAGTTATCATCCGGAAATGAGAAATTGACCAACGGTCACTGTGACCTTGACCTTTGACCTACTGACCCCAAAAACAATAGGGATCATCTGCTCTATAAGACCAATCATCCTATGAAGTTTGAGGGCTGTAGGTCAAAAGGAACTCTAGTTATCATCCGGAAACGAGAAATTGACCAACGGTCACTGTGACCTTGACCTTTGAACTACTGACCCCAAAAACAATAGGGATCATCTGCTCAATAAGACCAATCATCCTATGAAGTTTGAGGTCTGTAGGTCTAAAGGAACTCTAGTTATCATCCGGAAACGAGAAATTGACCAACGGTCAGTGTGACCTTGACCTTTGACCTACTGACCCCAAAAACAATAGGGATCATCAGCTCTATAAGACCAATCATCCTATGAAGTTTGAGGGCTGTAGGTCAAAAGGAACTCTAGTTATCATCCTGAAACGAGAAATTGACCAACGGTCACTGTGACCTTGACCTTTGAACTACTGACCCCAAAAACAATAGGGATCATCTGCTCAATAAGACCATTCATCCTATGAAGTTTGAGAGCTGTAGGTCAAAAGGAACTCTAGTTATCGTCCGGAAACGAAGAATGGACGGACGGACGGACTGACGGACGGACAGGGCAAAAACAATATGTCTCCCCCCAGTTTGAGGTTGTAGGTCAAAAGGAACTCTAGTTATCATCCGGAAATGAGAAATTGACCAACGGTCACTGTGACCTTGACCTTTGACCTACTGACCCCAAAAACAATAGGGATCATCTGCTCTATAAGACCAATCATCCTATGAAGTTTGAGGGCTGTAGGTCAAAAGGAACTCTAGTTATCATCCGGAAACGAGAATGACGCAACGGACTGTGACCTTGACCTTGACTACTGACCCAAAAACAATAGGATCATCTGCTCTATAAGACCAATATCCTATGAAGTTTGAGGGTTGTAGGTCAAAAGGAACTCTAGTTATCATCCGGAAACGAGAAATTGACCAACGGTCACTGTGACCTTGACCTTTGAACTACTGACCCCAAAAACAATAGGGATCATCTGCTCAATAAGACCAATCATCCTATGAAGTTTGAGGTCTGTAGGTCTAAAGGAACTCTAGTTATCATCCGGAAACGAGAAATTGACCAACGGTCAGTGTGACTTGACCTTTGACCTACTGACCCCAAAAACAATAGGGATCATCAGCTCTATAAGACCAATCATCCTATGAAGTTTGAGGGCTGTAGGTCAAAAGGAACTCTAGTTATCATCCGGAAACGAGAAATTGACCAACGGTCACTGTGACCTTGACCTTTGAACTACTGACCCCAAAAACAATAGGGATCATCTGCTCAATAAGACCATTCATCCTATGAAGTTTGAGAGCTGTAGGTCAAAAGGAACTCTAGTTATCGTCCGGAAACGAAGAATGGACGGACGGACGGACTGACGGACGGACAGGGCAAAAACAATATGTCTCCCCCCGAGGTGGGGGAGACATAATTAATATGGTTTATTATATTACATGTTTATTTTGTTATGTTGACTGTGATATTTTATTGTAATTATTATTTTTTCTTCTTGTAGTCATTTGTACATATTGTCAAGAATATATAAATCACAATTTGGAAAGTTAAGTAATAATGGTCATTACATTGATATAGCCTAAATTTAAAGCTTACGATGGTTGAAAATTGTGCCGTATTATATCAAATTACGTAGGTTCTTATTTAAAAAAGGGTGGCTGAACTGTGCTCTTTCAAATTCAATGTGGATTTTTGCGATGATCCGGAGGTTTAACTACCACCACCACCATATTCTAAAATAAATTACAACTTTGTGTATATGACATGTGAACTAAAGTAAGTTTGACTGATTGAGTCATGTTTGATATACTTGTATTGTGTATAATGTCAGAAATTTAGTGAAATACCATGATGTATAATCAGTGATAAAGCTTTATACTGCCATTGTAGCTGACCACAACAAACAATTCATGTACTGATAACACAGATTTTATTCATCATACTGTAGAATATAGAATACCATTAGTAAATATAATTCCTTGAATTGTAGCACATAAAATTATGGCATTTCAATTTTTGTCATTTTAAAATATCTTAGTCTTGGTCTTATACAACATCAAATGAATAAGTTTTAAGCTTCATTCAGACAAAAGCAGATAATTTTTTTAGCTTGCATGTTTTAAAGCAGAGCTATTATGATTGCTGCATCATCATTGTTGTCATTCCCATGCAAATTATTCAAACTTATAAAGTTATTACCATGAAACTTGGAATATTTGCTAATCAGGACAAGGTGCAGTTGTTATACAAGGTACACAAGTTTTTGGAGTTCTGTTCGTTTTTTACTTAGAATTTTTGTCAAAATTGGTTGCACTTAACAAGTGTCAAAATCACATGTACTGCAGAGAACTGCTATTTGTGTTTAACTATCAGCATGCAAAAACTTGGTGGTCATTGTAAGCAGACATTATTTTTGTATCTGTAATTGTTAATTAAAATGTATATAATTATATTACTATTTATTACAGAAATAAATATGATTATACTGCCTTAAACTACCAGTAGTTCTTATTATACCCTGTGATTTATGAGAACTCGTTTCCTTTTTAATTTTAAAATTCTGTTGCTGGTTAACTTGTGTTTCAGTGCGACTGAAAATTGACAAGTTTGGCTGCCAAACCTTCATGGAAGGCAGACAAGCATTATTGGTGGAATCAGAAAAAACCTTACAATGATTCAATTATTGCACATTTACCCTAAAAGTAATATATAACCATTTCATTGACTTTTGAAGGCCTAAGGTTCAGTGGTTTTTATTTGACCATTTGAAAAATGGGTTGCATTGTAGTCTATATATCCTTATAGTTTTAGAACATCCTAAATATTGACACATGCAATAGGGATGCACAGCTGCTTACTTCAAGAGCATTTTGTGAAAAATGGCTGTTTTCCAATTTTGACCCCAAAGGGTTTTTATTTGAACAAACTTGGTAGACACCCACTAGAAGATGTTTCACGATTAATATCTAAGCTCTAGCTATTTGTTTTTTTTTTTAAAAGAAGATTTTTTAAAGTTTTTACTATATACAAATAAGGAAAATCAATGACCCTAAAGAAACACTATTTTGCAATTTTTCCATCAAAACTGATTTCAAAGTGCTCCAACTTCTCAATGGATTGAGATAGAGTCAAAGGCTTTTCAGTGTTCCTTACACATTAACTTAAGGTCGACCGGAGGCCATTTTTAGCCCCTCACAAGTCCAAAATTTTCTTGGAGATGAGGGGGTCTGCAAACTCCGAAACAGAAGGGGGCACATCCCCACTCATTGTATCCGATAGTGATAACTTTTTTAAACACCATTTCTCAAACAAAATCAAGTGCTTGGGGTCTACATGGGACATTTCTTTTCACTATTTGACGCCTCAAAAGGGGTGGGGGTGAAAAGACGTCTATTTAATGTAATCAGTAAAGTGGCGACTGACAGGAACCAGAGCAGAAATATGATATTGCAGTAACTGATATATAAATATAAGCAATATTAATACAAATGGAGTTGACTGTACTATTTTTTTTTTAAGTTTCAGTGAACGTGAATCCAGACAAATCAAAATTTCTTAGCACAAGACCTTTCAAGATGAATGTAAAGAAGGGATATTTCTGAGTAAAAAAATTGAAAACAAAACATGTATACTTTTTATCTCAATCTCGTTCTTGTAAATAAATGTATTTATACAGAATGAAATCATATTCACAATTACAATAGTAAATGTTGTATTTATTTGTTTTATGATTTGAAACAAAATTAATTCATGAAAAATTTATTTTCATTATAAAGTTCCACCTTTTTTGTACAGCTAAAAATAAAAGAAACTGAAATTTACTAGAACTTTCACTTCTCACTGATTCATGTGAATAAATAACTGTCTGAATTATGTATAACTCAATTGTAATTTTAATATTTTTGAGAACAGTATGATGCTTTTATCCAATGTAGTTTGATATTCTGTATAATCAACAATGAGGCATTTACATTATTATAAAGTACAAGAAAACAAACAATAACACTTAGTCCTGAGTTAGTTGCACACCCCCTGTTAGATTTGTCCGTAACATATTAAGATGGTCCAGAGATTTAGTCAGGAACGGTCGTACAGTATTCAGCTCCATCAGAGTAAGGTGGTTCAACTGTAAAAGAAGAAACATCCATGCTGTAACATTGAACTATATACTGTCATAATTATGGCCTTTAAACTGGTTACTGTAAAATCATTATTATTCGTGGGACACAAATTTTCATGGTTTTCGTGGGTATGTAAATCCACGAATTTAAGATCAGAGAAACTTTTATCCCAACAAATACTTCTTGCCATGTCTCTATTATATACATTACAATCGTGCATTGGCGCTTTTCCGCCGATTTTTGGGAAAAATGAATGACCCGAGGCAAGGATTAAATTTATAAACACGGAAAGATATGTACATGCTGTAAATAAATGCGCGGCGATTAAGTGTAAGATTACTTTGCATTAGGTTATCTATTTTATATTTTTAAAAGATATTGAAAATCCACAATTTAAGAACCCACGAAAATGCCCGTTTTGATAAAACCACGAAATTTCATGCCCACGAATATAAGTGAATTCGCAGTAATCATGTTCTTGTATAAACAGAACTTCTTTCTGGTCCTACATGTAGGACTGTAACTAGTAACTACAGGAGTTGCCTGTTCAATAACATGCATGAGTAATAAATTTTGCAATACATTTTATTGTTAAATTTTTATGTAAAGTTTTTTTCCATAATAACACATTTGAACATACTTCACATTATTAAACAAATGTACTAAATACTCCTAGATAAACAAAACCCCCTCTTACCTTGGCATGTGTGGCATCACTCTTAACAAATGTGTCAATACTGCTTCGTAGTTTAGCTATTCTCAAATCCCAGATATCTTTTATCAGCGTCCTTGTTTCATCAGCATGGGGTATGTCATCCATAGCGCTACAAATATATCACAACTTTAATCTGTACATTGTATTGTATTTGAACATTGAAGCTGCGTGCCTTTAGATGGCCAAAATATTTCAAGAAAATCAAACTTGAGAAAAAAGTACTAAGATTTGAAGAAAAATTTGTGAAAAGATTTAAGTAATAATTACATGTTAGGAGGGTTAAATAAATGATTTTACAGTATTTATCACCATATTTCTAATGGTTGACTAACGAAGTATGGGCTATTTTTGTATATCTTTTATCATTTCTTGGTAATATATGTGGATTGCATGTGCAAACAAATTTGCAGTATTGTAATTTGTTTAATTTTTGTTTAATTGATTTTACGTCACACCAACACAGTATAGGTAATATGGCCACGTTCCAGCTTTACTGGTGGAGGAAGCCCTTTTGTGCATTATTTCAGGCACGAACGGGCACCTGAGTAGAACCACCGACGTTCCGTAATCTAGAGTGGTGAGGGGCAAGTGGTTTGAACTCAACGACCTTAACCACTCAGCCACAGACGCCCCTGCAGTATTATAAAAGCTAGAATATGATGGAAGCTTGAAGATACAACAAACCAGTTACAGATGGTATATATGAACAAATATTGTTGTGATCCTAGTAGCATGACTCCAACCAATAAATAAGCCGCGTCACGACAAAACCAACATAGTGTGTTTGCGACCAGCATGGATCCAGACCAGCCTGAGCAGAGTTTCTCTGCTTATTATAGGGTTGGTAAGCAAACAGCATGGATCCTGATCAGACTGCGCGGATGCGCAGGCTGGTCTGGATCCATGCTGGTCGCAAACGCACTATGTTGGTTTTGTTATGACGCGGCTCAAATAATGATTAATTATTTCTTCCATTTTTCATCAGAAACTTTACAATCTTAAGTAAATATGAAATCAAATATTCTACTAATTACAGACAAGCAAACAAAAATTCTTGATAATCATGAATAAAAATTTCATGAATGATGATGTGGCAATAGGATGGACATTAAATATTTTTTCTGTAACAAAGGTCAGATATTCTATATATAGAAAACTTACTATTTTAATAATAACTGTGTCAGTTCCATATAATGTTTACATGGCATTTCAGTGAAGAACTTTGAATCTGTTTCTTCCTGTTTCTTTTCTTGTAATTTTTCTGTAATTTAACATAAAACTTTTGTTATACAGAATTTATTTCTGTTTGATTGTGTAGGAAGCTGTAAGCTTGTAGAACCTTCAAATCCGTTCCTGGAACCAACCAGTATTGAGCATTGAATGTCAAGTTTCTTGCTCAAGGAAACAACAGCTTGCCCCTAACAGGGTTTGAACCCACATGACTAGCTATCCTTAGATTACGAGCCCATGTGTTAACCACTCTGCCATATCATCACCTAAAAATATATTTATACTTGTAACTAATGTAACTTGTTAGCTAAAATGAAATAGGAAACATTCAATACATGTAAAAACCTGTAACTTTTTTTTTTGAAATACTGATAGCTATGTTTCGTTTGACACCAAGTGAGCAAAATCCATCAACTCTGACAAAGTGAAGACATTTTTTCCCCAATCATCATATGAAATTGCAGAAAAATATCTTTTAAACTTCATGGTATACTAGGAAATAGTCAATTTTTCATTTGTTTTGACAACAACAGTTGTGTAATTTAATAATCAGACAAATCACCTGAGAAAGCTGAGTATCTCATAGGAGGACATGTAACAAAAGTCAAGCTGAAATACGAATTTTATTGAAAACAAGCTGCTGATTTTAGGTTTTGACACTAATAAAGCTTTGTTGAAATAAGTGTAGCTTGTTTAACTATTACCATGATTGAACAGAGACTGAGAGTGGTGCTACCAGTATAGTCAAGTCAGCATACACAACTGTCCAGTCTGACAAGGCACTATACTGTGGGTAGCTTAATACCTGTATCCCTTAACTGTTAAAATAACAGACTGTTCAAAATTCAAAGTAGGGCATATCCATTACACAGTTTCAACAGATATTATTTAAAATTTGACATTGTAACAGAAATGTTCATACCAACATCCATCCATTCTGGAGGACGTATCCTGGCTTTCTGTCTTTGTTTAAGATTAACTGCCATCCATAATGGTACTTCAATCGGCAGTCCAGCAGTAAACGGACCAATGTCTCCCTGAAAGTAAAATTGATGAATAATTAAAACATCATTAATGATTTCTGGAAGTTTTTTTTATACTCAACAGCTGGACAGTTTTCAGTATAGAATGCATCAAACTGGATGCACATAATAACATACATGTAACATGAAGTTCTTTTACTAAATTTGGAAATTGCATTTAGTTTTCTTATTTTCCATAAGAATTGTTAAAAATTTATCCATTTAAAAGGTTTAAGTAAGTACAATTCATTATCAATTTAAAGTCAGAGCAATCTGTAGAGCCTAAACTTTGTGAGCTTAAGGTCTTCAGCGTACCCGTTTATATACTATGACTCGACGTGTGCAAAATGTGCTGCGCTTTGAAGATTGGAACGAGTTGGCTATGGACGAAGCCATCCGATTATATGTTGGTTTCCAAACTTAAAAGCGGAGCGTATTTGTAAACAGCAAAGCTGGGGCCACGTTTGAATTAACGGCAATAATCTTGATGTTTATTTCAGCTGTTGCGTTGTTTATATCACCGTTGAAGTTTAAAATTGACCATCATCGTGAAGAATTATATCTTCTGTGTCGATGGACCAAAGGATTATGTGAAAATATTGGAAATGGAATAAAATACATGGTGTGTATATTGACGGTAGGTGTGCGAATTTTTTGCGTCGAACATTTCTATCTTTTGTATTATTATAGACGTTGAAACATGATTTTTTTTTCAAAACAGCTTATATTAAGTTTTTTTGATATATATGATCAGTACATGTGCTGGGATTGACAAATATATATTTTATTTGGATTTTAAAGACGTTTTAAGCTCCAAACCCCAAGTGTCTGTGATAGGACCGAGTAAGGAATTAAACAAAAATACAAACTCCGATCAAAAATATTTTATCCAGGGCAAAGTTTGGGACAACTGTTATCTGTTCTTTTTCTGCTAAAAATTCAACCTCTGCAGGATCCATATTGCGTAATTTTCGTCAAGAAAGCATTGTGCTTCTCTACATTGTCCGGTTTATTTACTTTTATTCGCGGGAAAATCTAAGTGCATAAAATTTTACAGCCGTAGGAATTATAGTAAAATAAGCTAAAATCCGTTAACTTGCCGTACGGTAGGTCAGACTATCGTATTATTCTATTCAAGGACTCGACCCGGTGAATTTTCGTATTTTTTGTTCTTTAGTAAATCAGTCACATTTGAGACTTAATTCTGGATTCCACTGTTCTTGATGAATTATATACTTTCTTCAACTTTAAACATTAACACTATCAAAGTCCAATGAGGCCCAAAATATAATAGGTTAGCCATCTACTTTTTTCAGAAATCTTCATTCTGTTGTAACACTGTTTAAATTCACCACTTAAAAACTCCTTTAGTTACTATCCCAGCAATTTTTACCTGTTAACAATTGTGGTCATTGATTTAATTACTTTATCTCTGTAATTTTTACCTTTAACCAATGGTGTCATTGCCTTCGAGGGATCTCCCCTTTCCAAGTTTTTTTGACACCCTGTTTTATCGTCTTAAATCACTGTCACTTTTTTCACATTGTTCAATTTAAGCCATTTTTATATGTGAAGAGATATTTTTGCATGCATGCAACGGGAGGCATAGTGTGTTTATCATGTGTAACTGTTTAAATACTAGTAATGCTTTTTCTAATTTTTTTCTGTTCAAAAATGAAAACAAAGATTTACTAGGGAAATTACAGGGACCCCGGCCCCACGAACATCACCGGCTACAAGGGAATTTAAAAAAAGGCCCTCCATTTTTTTTTTAAAAATTTTTTTCTAATTTTAAAATGGCCATTCGAATGAGTTAATTTGGGGTTTAAAAGATTTTTATCGCCGTTTAAAAAGACTGTTTTAAATTTTTTTGAGTAAAATATTTCAAAAATTTTAACGTAAAATTTTAAAATTTTAACAAGAAAGGCCCTATATTTTTCATATTTTTCATAAATTTCTTTCTTAATTTAAGTCTTAATCAAAGGGTTTAAAAAGAAAAATTTTCTACCACCTACACCACACTAACCCCAACCCCCCACCTCCCAACCCAACTACAACTACTTCATTATTAAATTTTTCATCAATTCCCTAGTAAAAAACAGGTACTAGTGAAAATATTAAATAATGCCATTTTATTTATTTTCCTTATTCTTCATTTACATAGCATACTCATTATTTTACCAATATTATATTGAAATTATCAGTAATCGGTTCATAATTGGTTTTGATACTTATTCTATTACAATATCCGTAACGATTTGTTTGTTTCATTTTACGCCTTTTCCCAACAGTGTTTCAGTCATATAGGCGGGTAGTTTCCTAACCATCGTTCCTGGAGAGTTACACCAGTACTAGACTACCTTCCTCCGCGCTAAACTACCAAAGCATCTCCCGGGGATCGAACCCACGCCAGAGAGGTAACTGGATTAGAAGTCATCGACTCTAACCTCTCGACCACGGAGGCGGAACATATCCGTAACGATAAAATAGTCGAAAACATGAGAAACTGTATAAAATTCTGGAAACAAAGTGAAGAATACTTTTATAGTCTTGTGTATCAATACTCTCTGTATCTTCTTTTTCGAATTGTTCAGAATGACCGGGCTCTCATAGCAATGTTATCACGTTTTTCAATGTGAACCTCTACATGTGTACATATTATAGATGCGTTCTATATTTCATCTGTTAACATTCTGATATTTTCAATTTACAGCCTTCTGAGACAAAACTAAATTCTGAGTCAAAATCTTCTGTCACATGGAATTTCCCAGCGTTCCTATCCACGTATGCAATGGGAGATATTGGTTTCCCCCGAAATGTGACGACAATAGATATTGTTTTGATATTTACATTCTGTGATAATTTACCAAGGCTTTTAAGAAAAGAATGCCAAGTACCCTGACTCATGTGTACTACCCAAAGCTTTATATGTTCTAGATTTTTCATCTTGGAGGATACAGTCAAAGCTTCTTCATCGATATCGACCCTACACAACTCAAACCTTTGTAAGTTAGTGCATGTATATAATATAAAACTAATTTGCTTGTTGTACAACGCATTCTTGGATACAGCTTCTATTTTAAATTCCGAAAAGGTAGTGGCTTTAAACAAAAGTTTTTTGTGGAAAGGGAAAATTTAAACCCTTTTAAAATTACATAGTTGACAACCCTTTTTCAATATAAATCTTTTTAAAAAACCCGGTTTTGGAAATAAACCCAGTGTCCATATATTTATATTTTAAAATTTGTTTGTGAGAAGACAGATTGATCATGTGATTCTCATGTTGCCCCCACTACCCCTTTGTTGTTGGATAATTTCAATTTTTTCCAAAAGGTTTGGGAAACTTTTGTTTAAAACCCTTTGAAATTTTTTGGAAAATTGTGTATGTGAAAACCCTGAAATTTTGCAAATTTGGGTCAAGCTTTTTATTTCTTTTCCCACTATTCCCTTTTGAAACGGGGATATTCCAAGTTTTTAAAGAAAAGGGTACCCAAATGTTTTTTCCCAAATAAATCAAATATCATGTCCTTTACATCATAAAATCGAAAAATAAATTTGTAAATTTTCCACTTCAAAAAAAATGATGTTATTTGTCCGATGTTAAAATAATTTTTTTTTTGGGTTATTGACCCGTGAGGCAGACACACCTACAATTTGTAATATTTTTTCAATCCCAGTAATAAAAAAAAGGGGGAAAAGTGTAATTGAAAATCTTCCAGCACAAACGTTTGCAACTGTGAATTATTTGATAAGTCAATATGGTGAGCTTTGCATCCATCCATGTCGCATTTGATGTTTCTCAGGGCCAACGTTTTTGTCTGAGCTAACAATGATATTAGCTTTTGAAAATGTCCGTGTGAAAAAACTAGTCCATGTATTTCACATGTCCGTAAGAGGTCAGAACTGTTTGGGGAAAAGGATATGTGTTTACACTTATCTAATGTAATACTTCGAAGATTCACATGGTGTGATAAGTCTATATCAAGATCCTCGTTGTAAAGGACGGCCTGTATCAAGGAGTCTGATTCTTGAAGAAATACAGATGGTTTGATGATGGATTTCGATATTTCAGTAGTTGTTAATGCAAGGATTTGTATATGATTGAGCCTAGAAATCACCCCAATCGTATCCTCATTCAACAAACATTTGTCAATGTAAAGGGACTGGACAGTCTCGGGGATAATCTGGCGCACAAAACTCAAATTTACTTGGTTGCGTAATACTATATCAACCATACTTATTCCCTGTATTTTCTCTGGGGACGTAAAATGGGACTCAGAAAACATTTTTGATGCAAGATTTTGTACTTCTTGTGTTTCTTTTAAACCATGGTAAGAAATTCGTCCTTCTTCCAGTTCTGTTATATATTCAGTTCTGCTCGAGTCTGTTAGTACAATGTCATAAACATATTTAGACAAATATTTTGTCAAACGTGGATTTAACCCACAAACCATGGTCAACATACCTGATAATTGAAGAATTTTTTCAATAGAGTTATATCTTTCAAAGAGCTGATCTAAAATGGGACACACAAGTTTGGTTGTCTTGCTAGTACTTGAGTCTTTGTCAAAATGACAAGAAATGTACACAGCTGCAAAGTAATTGCGAACCGAAATGTGTGTAAATGATAACCGAGTTTTATCCACGGTAGGATCTGGACACTTTTCTTTCACCAATATCCCGATCATTAAAGAATATTTTGACAATGCATCACATGGTATATCACATTCTTTGAATGTAGAACGCCCGAACATAACACTAGGTGATACAGAAACTACTGTATGATACGCTAGCTTTCCTAACATCAACACCAACTCTTGGTTGAGAAGAAATCTCTCCAATTTTAATAAGGCTTCTGGTAATTTGAGACCATTTAGATCATCAGGGACATTCTTCTGCTCTTCCATAGGTTCAATTTCCTTTTCTTCAGACCATGCAAACATTATGTTTAGGTTGTTGGTATATATGTCAGTTATTGACTTGTTAATAGGTTTACCCTTGCAGTACATATGCAGTACTTGCTGCAGAAGCAATGGTGTCCTTTCAGGATGAGGAAAGTTTGCAGCCTTCAATTCATTAATAAAATCTAAATCTTTATCTGCGTTACATTTGAGACTTTCGTCAAAGGCTTCCATGTAAAGTTTGATCATGTTCTGTATTTCGTTTTCATCTATTCCGACAAGTTTTATTTTACGATCATATTGCGATCTTTTCAAATTTAATATACTTTTAGCTGATGGACTGGACGTTGTTAAAACTGTGGCATTGTAAACATTATTTGAAAGTGGTATTCCCGTTTTAATATGCCTCTGAGACCGACGTGGTTGCTCAGGTAGTGACCACTCGTCTAGTCCATCAATAATTATCAAACATCTTTCGGATTCTTTACTGAAAATGCTTTTAATCAAAGAATCAGATGCTATTCCGTACATGGAGTGTATAACCATCTGCATTACGTCGATAATATCCCCTGGAATATCGCACATTTGAACATAAAACAAAAAGTCATACGTAGATACTTTGTGCAAATCTAGTAGACAATTTTCACTGAAAGCCTTGTCAACAGCATTTGGTTTCGGAAGACTATCACACCATGAATTAATCAGCATTTTACAAAACGCACTTTTTCCTGTTCCAACCTCACCAATGATGTATATGTTTTTCAGTTTGTTATGACATTTTTGTTGGGTATCGCTGGCTTGTTCAATAATATCTCCTCTTTGACTGGTATCATTTTGAATATCACAAAATATTTCGTGATAATTTTGTATTCTTCTTTGTGTATAATCACTAATGTTGTCCTCCTCCGAATCTTCGATGTACATCTTTGGATGAACATACACTTTACTAATATTGAATTTATTATTTCGTGTTGCTAGCGGTGATATCCATGTTTTTACTTGTTCACTTTATAAGTTTCTTCTGGAGTTCTGTAATAATAACATGTAACTATGTTTCACATTTGGTTACAACCAGATGAACAAGAAAGTTTAATAGCTTTACATTATCGTCGGGAATTTCAGAAGTATTTTGACAAGATAATGTTATTAAAGGGCTCTAAAAGCTTAATATTGTGCCCTCAGCCTACTTGCGATACCTTTATCATTCAATGAATTATGTCGATTGAGAACATAAGGTATGAATTTGTTATATTTTACTGTATATTATTTATATCATTTCTATTGTTTGCTTTAAGATGCTCAGCTTAAATATTTATTACCTTGCTTTTGTGATATATATTTCAAAGTATTCTGCTGTGCATTCGTAACTTCTTCAAGCTGTTTGATTTCTTTACACACGTCAACTTCGTTTTGCGTTGTAATGTAAATATCGTTCCTTTTTAGCTTTTTTAAATGAAAAAAAAAATGTAGAAAACATGTTTATTCAATTATTTTGCCATGTGGACATCGAAACAATTAAGTTCTTTCCTTCATTTACTTAATTAGAGAATTGTTGTCTTTACGCGAATGACTACGAATAACTTCAAGCAAACCTAAATACTTTTAGCTTGTAAAGGATATTGTTAAAATAAAATCAGAAAAAAAGAAAATAAAAATTAAATGTATCAAATTTAATGAGAAGTAAAATAAAATGTTAAAAGCACGCTTTACATTAAAGCTGGAATGATTATGGTTGGCTAATTGAGAACATTTACAATGAAATTAGATATTTATTGAGGATGCTGTCAGAGGAAAACTTAAAATTTACAACATGGATGTAAAATATATAGAGAATAATTCAATATAAAAATACAGTAAAAACCCTCAATAAAGACCACCATCGGGACTGAACCAAAGTAATCTTAATTGCGGGCTGGTCTCAATTTTGAATGTTATAATATTTAATCTGATGAGAGTAAAACATATTTCTGAAGTAATTTAATATCAAATTGTCTTTGGTCGGATTTCAATATTTATTATTATATGATGTGCATAATTCATCTATCATATGAGAAATTAATTCTTAACAAAATAAATTTGCTGAAAACACCATCAAACAACAGTGACTATAAAATTTACTTTCACACCATATTTCGTCCAATAACCCAATAATAACATTTTTTTGACATCTTGTGAAATCAAGTGTCATGCCTAAGAGCATTCAAGCAGATAATAACAACAAATTTGTGATCTAGGTAGGTGTTAACTTTAACATCAGTGGTCTCAATAGTCGGTTCAAAAATAATAAGACTGAATCTGGTGGTCTTTAAAATGGATAAGCGAGGTGGTCTTAATTCAGGATCATGTCACCATTGACGTAAAGAACAGAAAATTCCGTTCTTTCAAAAGCGGGGTGGTCTTAATACCAGGGTGGTCTTAAGAAGTGATTCTTCAGTATTATGTAAAATCTTGCGTACCTGTTTTATATTCTCGACAGCCTTTTGGGCATTCTCGTTTAGATAAAGCCCTTTCTTATCTTTTAAGAGAGTAATCATGTTATCTGTAGTTGCTGTAAAATCATCTAAAGTAAGTTCCATTGACGGAGAATGGAATATCATATTTCTTCCTTGCAATGTCTGAAACAAAATCCAAAAGCTTAAAAGTCAATAGAAATAGAGATGAATAATATCTTTTATGCCAGAATTTCATTCCGTTTGGGATGGGAAAGAAATCTTCCACTTGCTTCAACAATTCATTAAACTCTGAGCGAAAATACACTTATATAACTCAAATATATTATATGGAGGGAAAAATATAAATATACTCTCACAAAAATAGATTTAAAGAAAAGAAAAGAAAAAAACAACAAAAAAAAAAACAAACAAAAAAACAAATAAAACAAAGAAAAAAAGTGATTAAACTCTGATATTGATCTCTCATTTTTTCTGAAGAAGACAAAATGTCGAAGGTTAAAGAAAAGTGATTTTTCTTATTGAACTGATTATATAAATGTAACATAGAAAATATAAAAGTGATATAATATCTATTATAAAGATAACATCAATTGAATCACGTAGACAGTAATTTTAGGATCTGACCTTGTTTATAATGTCATTGTGGTTCAACAGACAATCCAGATAAGGGTGAAGTCTCATGTTGTTGATAAAAACATGTAAAATACCAGCAATATCAATATCATTTACTGTCTTTTTGTCGATGTATCCAGGTGCGTTAATAAAACACTTTGCAATCTCCCAAGGATGGATGCTCCATTCACTGATATGAGTGTTCTTCCAATTAGGTGCTGGAGGATTTGATGCATGGTTTGTTAGTATTTCATTATGAATTTCGTTGCAAAATCCTTTCGGACATTCGATTTTATCGCTATACAAACAATTGCATCTAGTCTGTCGATATGGACAACTGTATTGCCTTGTTTGTCGAATAAATTCTTTTTCATGCTTTGGTTTCAGATTGTTAAGACTACATTTGTTGCAAACTTCAATATTTTTCTTCTTTGTATCCTTAAGTAACCGGGAATGTTCTTCGTGAACAGCGTCATCGGTGAATGTTTCTAAACCAACTTTGAGGTACTTGTAAGCTAAACCTCCTTTTACCCAGTTCTTAAACAATGGTTTCTTCAGCTGATCTTCTATTTTATCCATACTCCTGTATTTCTTATTTCTCTACAATAGCGTAAACACTATTTAATAACATATACTCGAGTAATGCATAACTTCCATTTCAGTTAGACTAATTGTTCCTTTTTTGTAAAGCAAACTGCTGATATAAATAATTTACCTATATGATATCAATTCATAGCACAATAATATCACCCAATATGTTACAGTTTACATATTAAATAGAACATAAACACTGTGTGCATGTATGACTACTACGGTTACTAGTATACAATGCATTATCGCGCACAAATAAGGAAGTTAAAATACCTAAATTCATAGAACAATGAATGTACTTATTTCTATGAATCTATGAAAAGAAAAAGAAAAAAATGTTTATAAAGCAGGTCGCTCCCGCCAAGATTAAAAAATACGTTTATGTCTTACAGGAGTATAACCGTTCAATGCATCTTTTATTGATAATATAATAATATATCTGAAAATTAAGAAAACAATAACTCCATGTACAGTTGTTTTACAAAATCAACTTCCCTTTTTCTTGTATGAATTCTTTAAGATATAACCTTTAATATCTGTACATATAAATAGATGTTCCGTTCAGGGTGCTCTGTATGTGAAGTGGGTCAATGTTTGGTTCAGATTGTCCGACCTTATAGCCGTAACGTCTTACAGTCTTTGATTGCACCATGATTTTGTGTTAATAGCTCATTTTGTTTAGTCTATGAGATTGTTTAACTAATTTGTTGAAGTGACAAAATACGTATTTTACTTAAATTGGTGTCTGCTAAAAATGTCTTTTTCCAATTTTATTTTTTAAAAAATGTATTGATCTCTTTTTTTCGAAGTTATGAAAGGATGGCTGTCAAAAAGCTAGGTTGAAGACCAGACACTTAAATACTTGGCTCTGATTTGGTTTTAAGCTGTTTGCAAAAGTTGTCGTGGTAAAGGTGAATTGTTTAAATAATTTAAGTGATATATCACCCTTTAAAATTCTATCAGATACGAAATATTCTTTTCAATCAATATTTTTGATAAGGTAGCGTCCTTGAACATGTTTATTAAAATGACTGTTCCATTTTTAATCGGCAATGAAACATAAGCAACCCAAGTATGCGTCTAGTTTCTAAATATTTGATAGTAATCTGGAGAAACAAAGTAAACATTTTCTTCTCACATGTAGAGTGCACAGTTTTTTAAAATGATCTAAAGGGTTCTGAAAATAAGATATTTTAAGTTTTGACGCATGGTAGACAACTTCATTTTAGGCCATTACCTACAAAGTAAATCAATTGATTATCTGATCTTTAAACACTTTATGTAATGATATATGGCCGGACTTTGTTGATTAATGTCTTTTTTCTCGGTAGCAATCAAAGTATCATCTTTCATTAAAAAAAAAAAAATAAAAAACTTGAAAAAATAAAAATAAAATAAAATAATCTAACAGCTTAGATCCAAGTCACTCATTTACCATAAATACTCATATTTCCGCACACTATCTTGCTATGTATTAACATACCCATGTAACATAGCCAACTTGTTGTACAAGATAGGCGTTGTGAACAATCAAGTACTGGACTTGACTCCACTTTTTATATTAATGGTATGATGCTTCCGAGGGATCACTTTGTTTTCAATCCACAGATGTGATTTTGATTCCGCTTTTCATGGAATGGCACGGAAGGTGTCACGTTGAAGGTTCCATGATAACCGCCGTATGAACACATCTGCGGATGTTTCTAAATTCAAAATGTCACCATTTCATGTTTAAATGTTGAATTCTGCTTAAGCCGGTGCTAGAGGGCGTGGACGGTAGTTTGCACTTTACAGTACCGTCCATGAACAGGCTCAATCAAACCGAGCCTGCAACATTTTTAATTATGTTGTGTTGGACTTTCTTTAGGGATTCTTATTTTCTCTATTTGAATACTGGATTGGACTTATATTTTTCAGGGTTGACCGCATATTCTTAAAGCTTGTGGTGACTTTTTAAGCATAGCTATAGCTTCTATATTAAAATGGCATTTTTTCCTGATAAACATAAAGAAGCATATATACTTTAAATTTACAAAAATGATCCAAGAGAAGATCCAAATAGTTATAGACCTATTTCAATTTTGCCAACCATATCAACATTTTTTGAAAAGCATATTGCATCACAATTACACAGTTATGTATACGAAGCTAATATCATTCATGAAAGTCAGTCGTGGTTCAGAAAAAATCATTCTTGTCGAACAGCTTTTGTTTGTTTGTTTGTTTCATTTTAACGCCTCTTCCCAACAGAATTTCAGTCATATAGGCGGGTAGTTTCTTAATCATCGTTCCTGGAGAGTTACACCAGTACTAGACTACCTTCCTCCGTGCTAAACTACCAAAGCATCTCCCCGGGATCGAACCCACGCCAGAGAGGTAACTGGATTAAAAGTCATCGTCTCTAACTCCTCGACCACGGAGGCAGTCTCTTATACGACTCATAGGATCCTTCCTTAATGATTTAGATGAGGGTTGTTTGATAGGCACAGTATTTTTAGACCTAAAAAGGCATTTGATTTGGTAGATCACAACATATTGTTGCACAAGTTAAAATTGTACAATTTTTCACACCTCAAACTCTTCAAATCATATCTTGAAAATAGAACACAATTTGTCAAATATGGAAATAGTCATTCAAATAGTGGAACAGTGAAATCACGGCTCCCTCAAGGATCTATATTAGGCCCTTTACTTTTCATTTTCTACGTTAATGATATGCTATTTAGTACAACACACTCTAACATAGACATGTATGCTGACGATACTACTATGCATCCATCAAATAAAACAATTGAAGTGATTCAGAGAACCATGCAATGCGATGTTGATAATACATGTATAAGCAAATGGTGAAAACTAAACAACATGGCAATAAATCTGAAAAGACCACTTGTATGGTAATTGGGTCAGAAAATAAATTAAATTCCGAACCTTCTTTAGATATAAATATAGAACGTACATGCCTAAGTCAAATAAAATCACAAAAATTATTAGGTATTTATTTAGATGAAAACTTAAAATGGAATGTTCAAATAAAGCACGTCTGTAATAAATTACAAAAACAAATTCCTCTGTTAAAGCGTATATAGTATATTTTATCCGCTGAAATGAAAGAAATGTTTTACAATGCCTATATTTTACCTTGATTTGATTATTGTTGTATTATATGGAGTACTTGTAATAAAACTGAATTTGAAGAAGTGAATAAACTGCCTGTAGAAAAGATTATGTAAACCAGTTAAAACGCCGTCATTACAACTTTTCCTTAAATTAATCTGGTTAACTTTTGAAAACAGATGCACGTGTTATACACATTATGAGTATTTAAATCTATACAAGGATTGACTTCTTCCTACATTTCAGATATCCTAGTGTTCTCAAAAAATGAAACATATACACTTAAATCAACTACAAATAGAAATTATTGTAAGATCTAATATAAAATATGTTAAAAGAACTTTTAGAAATAATGCTATGCAAGTATGGAATAATTTACATTTATATATTCAAGAGTCTTCGTCTCTATATTCTTTTAAAAGAAATATGAATAAAATGTTTACTTGAGATACAATTTAAATGAATTTGATGTATACATGTGTCTGTCGATTTAAATTGTTTTTTGTTTATGTTTTTGATATGTGTACATATTGGTTATTTTCTTTATCTTGTTTAATTGAAGGCCATATTGTAAATAAGATATTTATTTCTTAATATGTTACCTTCATGAAATAAAGTGTTTATTATTATTATTATTATTATTATTATTACTTAATTTAAGTCTATATTCAAAGGTTCAAAATATAAATTTGTGTTTATTACCACCTACACCACTATTACCACAACGTACTACTGTATTAGTATCTTTTCCAACATATGACGTAGTAAAGAACAGGTACTAGTGAAAATAGAAATATTGCCATTTTATTTATAAATTCATAATTCTTCATTAACATAGCATACTCATTATTTTAAACATATTATATTGAAATAATCAGTAATCTGTTCATAATTGGTTTTGATACGTATTCTGTTACAATATCCATAACGATAAAATAGTCGAAAACATGCGAAACTGTATAAAGAATACTTTTATTGTCTTGCGTATCAATACTCTCTGTATCTTCATCATCGAATTGTTCAGAAATGACCGGGCTCTCATAACAATGTTATGTGTTTCACGTGAACCTCTACATGTGTACATATTATAGATGCGTTCTATATTTCATCTGTTAACATTCTGATATTTTCAATTTACAGCCTTCTGAGACAAAACTAAATTCGAAGTCAAAATCTTGTGTCACATGAAATTTCTCAGCGTTCCTATTCACGTATGCAATGACAGGCATTTGTTTTCCCCGAAATGATATTGTTTTGATATTTAAATTCTGTGTTAATTTACCAAGGCTTTTAAGAAAATAATGCCAGGTACCCTGACTCATGTGTACTACCCAAAGCTTTATATGTTCTAGATTTTTCATCGATATCGACCCTAAACAACTCAAACCTTTGTAAGTTAGTGCATGCATGTAATATAAAACTAATTTGCTTGTTGTACAAACTATTCTTGGATACAGCTTCTATTTTGAATTCCGTAAGAGTAGTGGCATTACTAAGATTTTGTGGCAAGGTAATTTGAACCTTAGATACATAGTTGACAAGCCTTTCAATATGATCTGTTTTCAAACGGTTTGGATATAACCAGTCGTCCATATATTGTATACTTTTAAGTTGTTTGTGAGAAGACAGATTGATCATGTGGTTCTCATGTTGCCCCTCACTACACCTGTTGTGTGATAATTCAAGTTTTTCCAATGATACGGACTGTGATAGTAGCCTTGCAATTTTTTGGCATTGTGTATGTGAAAATCTGCAATTGCGAATTGTCAAGCATTTTATTTCATTGCCACTATTGCTTTTGAAACTGATATTCCTACAGTTTTTCAAGCAAAGGGTACCCAAATGTTGTTGTCCAGATAAATCAATATCATGTCCTTTACAGTCATCATCGCAAATCAAACTGTCAATTTCCACTTCGCACAATGATGTTATTTGTCCGATGTTCAATAATATATTTTGGTATTGATCGTGAGGCAGACGACACCTACGAATTGTAATACTTTTCAATCCTCCAGTAATAGAAACAATAGGAAATGTGTAATTGCAATCTTCCAGCACAAACGTTTGCAACTGTGAATTATTTGATAAGTCAAAATGGTGAGCTTTGCATCCATCCATGTCGCATTTGATGTTTTTCAGTGCCAACGTTTTTGTCTGAGCTAACAATAATGTTAACTTTTGAAAATGTCCGTGTGAAAAAACTAGTCCATGTATTTCACATGTCCGTAAGTGGTCAGAACTTATTGGGGAAAAGGATATGTGTTTACACTTATCTAATATAATACTTCGTAGATTCACATGGTGTGATAAGTCTATATCAAGATCCTCGTTGTAAAGGACGGCCTGTATCAAGAAGGATTCTTGAAGTAATACAGATGGTTTAATGGTGGATTTCGATTTCTCAGTAGTAGTTAATGCAAAGATTTGTATATGATTGAGTCTAGAAATCACCCCAATCGTATCCTCATTCAACAAACTTTTGTCAATGTAAAGGGACTGGACAGTCTCGGGGATAATCTGGCGCACAAAACTCAAATTTACTTCGTTGCGTAATACTATATCAACCATACTTATTCCCTGTATTTTCTCTGGGGACGTAAAATGGGACTCAGAAAACATTTTTGATGCAAGATTTTGTACTTCTTGTGTTTCTTTTAAACCATGGTAAGAAATTCGTCCCTCTTCCAGTTCTGTTATATATTCAGTTCTGCACGAGTCTGTTAGTACAATGTCATAAACATATTTAGACAAATATTTTATCAAACGTGGATTTAACCCACAAACCATGGTCAACATACCTGACAATTGAAGAATTTTTTCAATAGAGTTATATCTTTTAAAAAGATGATCTAAAATGGGACACAAAAGTTTGGTTGTCTTGCTAGTACATGTACTTGAGTCTTTGTCAAAATGACAAGAAATGTACACAGCTGCAAAGCAAATTTCGAACCGAATGTGTGTAAATGAAATCGAGGTTTTATATTCCACGTTAGGAAATCTGGGGAAATTTTTCTTTCACCAATATCCCGATCATTAAAAATATTTTTGGACAATGCATCACATGGTATATCACATTCTTTGAATGTAGAACGCCCGAACATAACACTTGGGCGATACAGAAAACTATTGTATATACGCTAGTTTCCTAACATTCAAACCAAGCCTTGGTTGAGAAAGAAATTTTTCCAATTTTAATAAGGCTTCTGGTAATTTGAGACCATTTAGATCATCAGGGACATTCTTCTGCTCTTTTCCAATAAGGTTCAATTTCTTTTTCTTCAGACCAAGCAAACATTATGTTTAGGTTGTTGGTACATATGTCAGTTATTGACTTGTTAATAGGTTTACCCTTGTAGTACATATGCAGTACTTGCTGCAGAAAAAAAAACAAGAATAAAGATCAACAAGACAAAGGCAACGTTCACAGGACGTGGCCCTCGACACACTAAAAAAAAACCTAGAGCGGACATAAGGGTGGAAGGAGTGGGACATGTAATGTGAAATAATATCAACTAAAACGGGCCCATAAGGGGAATTAAAGGGATAAGGGGATGTAAGGGTGAAAAGGTGGGGGGGGGGTTAAAAATGGGTGAGGGGGATTGAGAAAATACTTACCGTCAACGACAATTCCCAACAAGACAGACATCACAAAAACATGTAAACATCCAAAACAAGTAAACAAAACAGAATGAAAAAACACGTAAAACACGTGAAGGAACACAGGGGGTACCGCCTTGGACCGGTCAGTGGTAGTTAAACCACTGGGAGTTTAAACCGGTTTTAGGCGCGCCAAACCTCACTCTTAGCCCAAATATGTTCCTGAATGACATTAACGTGTAAATAAAAATAATCCACGCCAAGTGAAATTCTAACAATGGTCATGGTTACATTAGACGAAATAAATAAAACACATACAAAATTATGTAAATATGTAGAAAAAGGTAGAGGCTAATGACCATTATCAAAGTACTCGATGCCTTAAAGGAAGGCAGAGCAACAAGAAAATCACCTACAAGGGCCCGACGAAGCAAGACAGAAGACGAACATTAAGACAATTCAGTCCCAGAGGGCTTTAAGAACTGTCCATCATAGAGTCTACCACTTAGTCCGTCAGATGTAATTAAAAGAGGAAAGCGTAGCGTCCAACTGTAAAGGGGTTGAACACCAAGCATGCGGTATGCCTTAAAATAATTGGGTCATAACCTCTTTTAATAAACCGTTTGATAATTTTAGTGAAGACGGCAGAAAAATTACTATGACCAATGATCCTACGAAGTTTGTAAACCACATCTCCATAGAAGTCAGGTTTGCTAATACCTAGTCGTAAAAGAGTTTTTAAATTGCAATTAAATTTTAAAACTAAGTCTGAATTACGATGGTAAAACTTTGTAAAATATTTACGCAATTTATGATAGCGATAACCTTGTGTTAGAAGTTTGTTAGTAATAAATAAATTGCGCTCATTAAAATCATCAACACGACTGCACGCCTTAGCAAATATAATTAACTGAGAAATATACACCCCATATGATGCAGCCTGAGGTACATCTACATCTAAATGTGGATAGTTAACAATATTAAAATCAAAATCATCTCTTTTATCGTAGATTTTAGTTACTATAGTATTGTTAATGATAGAAATGTTTAAATCTAAAAAAGATGTAATAACGTCTGAAGAGTTAGTTTTATTCAATTTAAGTTCACTTGGATATAATTTAGAAACCAATTGATCGAAATAAGGATTATTCGATTTAAAAATGTCATCTAGGTAGCGGGAAGTGTTGTTAAATGCATGTATAATTTCCTGATGTGAAGTAGGGGAAAGACTTAACATAAAATCCCTCTCATAGCAGTAAAGAAATAAGAAGCAATGGTGTCCTTTCAGGATGAGGAAAGTTTGCAGCCTTCAATTCGTTAATAAAATCTAAATCTTTATCTGCGTTACATTTGAGACTTTCGCCAAAGGCTTCCATGTAAAGTTTGATCATGTTCTGTATTTCGTTTTCATCTATTCCGACAAGTTTTATTTTGCGATCATATTGCGATTTTTTCAAATTTAATATACCTTTAGCTGATGGACTGGACGTTGTTAAAACTGTAGCATTGTTAACATTATTTGTAAGTGGTATTCCAGTTTTAATATGCCTCTGAGACCGACGTGGTTGCTCAGGTTGTGACCACTCGTCAAGTCCATCAATAATTATCAAACATCTTTCGGATTCTTTACTGAAAATGCTTTCAATCAAAGAATCAGATGCTATTCCGTACATAGAGTGTATGACCATCTGCCTTACGTCGACAATATCCCCTGGAATGTTGCACATTTGAACATAAAACAAAAAATCATATGTAGATACTTTATGCAAATCTAGTAGACACTTTTCATTGCGAGCCGTGGCATCAGCATTTGGTTTCAGACGACTATTACACCATGAGTTGATCAGTATTTTACAAAACCCACTTTTTCCTGTTCCAACCTCACCAATGATGTATATGTTTTTCAGTTTGTTATGACATTTTTGTTGGGTATCGCTGGCTTGTTCAATGATATCTCCTCTTTGACTGGTATCATTTTGAATATCACAAAATAGTTCGTGAAAATTTTGTATGCTTCTTTTTGTGTAATCACTAATGGTGTCCTTCTCCGAATCTTCGATGTACATCTTCGGATGAACATACACTTTACTAATATTGATATTATTATCTTGCGTTGCTAGCGGTGATATCCATGTTTTTACTTGTTCATTTTGATACAGTTTTATAAGTTTCTTCTGGAGTTCTGTAATAATAACATGTTACTATGTATCACAATTTGTTACAACCAGATGAACAAGAAAGTTCAATAGCTTTGCATTATCGTCGGGAATTTTAGAAGAATTTTTGACAAAATAATGTTATTAAAGGGCTCTAATAGCTTTATCCTGTGCCCTCAGTCTACTTGCGATACCTTTATTATTCAATGAATTATGTCGATTGAGGTCATGAGGTATGAATTTGTTATATTTTACTGAATATTATTTATATCATTTCTATTGTTTGCATTAAGATGCTCAGCTCAACTATTTATTACCTTGCTTTTGTGATATATATTTCAAAGTATTCTGCTGTGCATTCCTAACTTCTTCAAGCTGTTTGATTTCTGCTAGACTCTGAAAAATGCATAATAAGATGAAACAAATTGTTTACTTAGACTGAAACAAAGTTTAAATGTATGATTGTAATTATAAAATATTTCCTAATATAATAAAAAGAGCGGTTACCTTTTTAATTAAGTTAACTTCACATCGTAACTGTAGTAGGCCTATAGATGTATCGCTTATTGATGGTGATTGTGCTACATCATCATTGTTTGCTTTTTCTGCAAAGTCTTTGGACACCGGTTCTTGCTCTGCACTTTCAACAAACTCCTCTAACTCACTTTTCCTCTCCTTGTTAGAAGTCGTAACGGCTTCAAACACGTCAGCTTCGTTTTGCGTTGTAATGTAAATATCGTTCCTTTTTAGCTTTTTTAAATGAAAAAGTAGAAAACATGTTTATTCAATTATTTTGCCATATGGACATCGAAACAATTTACTTCTTTCCTTTATTTACTAAAGTAGAGAATTGTTGTCTTTACGCGAATGACCACGAATGACTTCAAGCAAACCTAAATACTTTAAGCTTGTAAAGGATATTGTTAAAATAAAATCAGAAGAAAAAGAAAATAAAATGTATAATAAGAAGTAAAATAAAATGTTAAAAGCACGCTTTACATAATAGCTGGAATGATTTTGGTTGGCTAATTGAGAACATTTACAATGAAATTAGATATTTATTGAGGATGCTGTCAGAGGAAAACTTAAAATTTACAACATGGATGTAAAATATATAGAGAATAATTCAATATAAAAATACAGTAAAAACCCTCAATAAAGACCACCATCGGGACTGGACCAAAGTGATCTTAATTGCGGGCTGGTCTCAATTGTGAATGTTATAATATTTAATCTGATGAGAGTAAAACATATTTCTGAAGTAATTTAATATTAAATTGTCTTTGGTCGGATTTCAATATTAATTATTATATGATGTGCATAATTCATCTATCATATGAGAAATTAATTCTTAACAAAATAAATGTGCTGAAAACACCATTAAACAACAGTGACTACAAAATTTACTTTCACACAATATTTCGTACAATGACTAAATAATAGCAATGTTTTGACATCTTGTGAAATCAAGTGCCATGCCTAAGAGCATTAAGCAGATAATTACAACAAATTTGTGATCTAGGTAGGTGTTGACTTTTACATCAGTGGTCCAAAAAATAATAAAACAAAGAATTGGGACTAAATTTGTTGGTCTTAAAAGTGGATAAGCGGGGTCGTCTTAATTCTGGATCATGCAAACATTGACTTAAAGAACAGAAAATTCCGTTCTTTTAAAAGCGGGATGGTGGCCTTAACAAGTGATTCTTCAGTATTATGTAAAATTTTTCGTACCTGTTTTATATTCTCCACAGCCTTTTTTGCATTCTCGTTCAGATAAAGCCCTTTCTTATCTTTTACAAGAGTAATCATGTTATCTGTACTTGCTGTAAAATCAGCTAAACCAAATCCATTGACGGAGAATGGAATATCATATTTCTTCCTTGCAAAGTCTGAAACAAAATTCTAAAGCTTAAAAGTCAAGATAGATGAAATATCCTTTATGCAAGGATTTCATTTCGCTGGGGACATGAAAGAAGTCTTCCACTTGCTTCAACATTTCATGAAATTCTGAGCAAAAATAAAATTATATAACTCAAATACAATTATTTGGAGGGACAGAGATGAATATTATGAAAAATATCCAGTGAATACATTCTGATATTGACCTCTGATTTAAAAAAAACAAAAGCATCTTAACCACTCGGAGAAAGGCATTGCAAAGCTATTTATAGAAATTATAATAATATCTGTTATTTAGGATAACAGTAAATAATATAGACAATTTAATCACATAGACACTTATTTTAGGATCTTACCTTGTGAACAATATTATTGACAATCCAGATAAGGGTGAAGTCTCATGTTGTTAATGAAAACATGTAAAATTCCAGCAATTTCAATATCATCAACTGTCTTTTTGTCGATGTATCCAGGTGCGTCAATGAAACACTTTGCAATCTCCCAAGGACTGATGCTCCATTCACTGATATGAGTGTTTTTCCAATTGGGGGCTGGAGGATTTGATGCATGATTTAATAGTATTTCATTATGAATTTCGTTGCAAAATCCTTTCGGACATTCGATTTTATCGCTAAACAAACAGTTACATCTTGTCTGTCGAAATGGACAATGGTATTGTTTTGTTTGTTGATCTAACCTTTTCGTATGCTTTGGTTTCAATTTGTTTAGACTACATTTATTGCAAATTTAATATTTTTCTTTTTTGTATCCTTAAGTATCCGGACATGTTTTTTTTGAACAGCGTCATCGGTAAATGTCTAAAAACCATCTTTGAGGTACTGATATGCTAAACCTCCTTTTACCCAGTTCTTATACAATGGTTTCTTCAGTTGATCCTGAAATGTATCCATACTCGTGTATTTCTTATTTCTCTACAATAGCGTAAACACTATTAAATTATTATAATCGAGTAAGGAATAACTTCCATTTCAGTTGTCTAATTGTTCCTTTTCGTAAAGCAAACTGCTGATATAAATAATTTTCCCATATGATATTCATATCAAGTTTACATATATCCATATTAAGTAGAACATTAACAGCGTGTACATGCATGGTTACTACAGTTACTAGTTTATAATGCATGATCGCGCACAAATAAGGAAGTTAAAATACCGAAATTCAAAGAACAAGGAATGAATGTACTTATTTTCCACGAAAAAGAAAAAGAAAAAAATGTTTATAAAGCAAGTCGGTCCCGCCAATGTTAAAAATACGTTTGTGTATAATAGGAATACAAGTTAAATGATGATGATGCACATCAAAGACGCCGCCAAATGATGTGAACAGTCAATCAGCATTGAAAATCGTTCTCTATTACAGTTAAATATCCGAAGCACAAATCAATTTTCAATTTTTCTTCATGTTCTTGGTATGTGCTCGTTGTTTAATAATAAAGTTGCATATTTTTGTGAAAAAGTAGAACCTAATATATAAATTCACAAAGTAATGCCATGTCTGAAATTCTAAAATGTTTTTCTGTTGCGACAAAGATTGAAACGTCTGGTCGAAGCAAAATAAATTGAATAACAAGTAAAATTGAAATGATTGGTATACTTAAAATGAACATCATTGTTGGCATTTAAAACAAGAGCCACTGTCTGCCTGGGGCCATGTTCAACTTTTTTTCTTATTTCTTAAGCCAATTATAGTGATAATCAGGGAAAATTGAATAATTTGTATTCAAGACAATATGTCCCGAGAATATATCCATTTAAATATTGGTACGAATTGCATAATGTTCGAATGATTTTGAAGACAAACTGTTAAGTCATGTGTTAGTTCGAATTATACAATTTCAGATTTTTTTCACTAGTCATACTGGAGTAAGACAAGGTGAAAACTTATCTCCAATATTGTTTTCTCTTTTCTTGAATGATCTAACTAATTTTATGTCTGATAAATATGAAGGTTTGCAGTTTCTAAAAGAACATATAAATGATATGTTAAGTGATGATGAAATAGAAGTTTATCTTAAACTGTATTTACTATTGTATGCAGATGACACTGTAATATTGTCAGAGAGCTCTCAGCAGCTTCAGTTAGCATTAAACACTATGTCTGACTACTGCAAGCTTTGGAATCTTGAAGTAAATACAAATAAAACCAAAGTTATTATATTTTGGAAAACCAAGAGAGGTTTGCGTAATATGCCTAACTTCACTATGAGGGGACTGTCCTTGAAATTGTTGAGCATTTCTCATATTTAGATGTCCAATTTTCATTTAATGGTAATTTCAGCAGAACTAAAACATTCCTTATTGATCAAGCCCGTAAAGCCATGTTTTCTGTAATTAGGAAATCTAGGATACTTAATTTACCAATAGATATGCAATTACACTTGTTTGATACAATGATAGCACCCATTTTGTTGTATGTGTGTGAAGTTTGGGGTATTGAAGATGTGAGTGTTGTGGATAAATTTCAATTAAAATACCTAAAGATAATTCTACAGTTGAAACAGAGTACTCCAAATGTTATGATTTATGGGGAGTTGGGTATTACCCCACTTTCAACACAAATTAAAAGTAGAGTTCTCAATTACTGGGGTAAAATAGTTAATTCTAAACATGATAAGATAATCAGCATTCTATATAGAACAACTCATAATTTATATACTCTGAATAATATTAAATCAGATTGGGTCTGTTTTGTTCGAAATAATTTAAATGATCTTGGATTGTCGCAATTTTGGATAAATCAAAATGTGGAATCTCCTGCTTCATTCAAGAATACTGTCAACTTAAGACTGCGTGATCATTTTATGCAAAATTGGAGAAGTACAATTAATAATTCCAGTAAATGTCTAAATTACAGGATTTATAAACAGGATTTTTGTTTTGAGCCATACCTCAGCAAGTTACCTATGAATTTAGCTTTAATTCTCTTTAAATTGAGAAGTATGAATCACAAACTTCCTATTGAAAAAGGAAGGTTTGATGATATTCCAAGAGAACTTAGAACTTGTAACCTATGTACCAGTAACTCTTTAGGCGACGAATTCCATTATCTTTTTGAATGTTCACATTTAGTTAATACAAGAAAGCTGTATCTTGATAAATATTTCTATGAACGTCCAAGTGCTTTAAAATTTGAAAAATTAATGAACCATAGTAATAAAGATATCCTTTTGAAACTTGCCATATTTTGCAAAAATATTATGTTATTATTTAAATAATGTTAGCTTATTAGATTTATGTCTTTTCTCTTTGTTTTTTCTCGCAATGATTTTTTATTTTTCTCTCTCATCCTCCATTATCAGTCAATTATTACTGTAATTTTATTACATCATGGAGTTGTATGACCATTTATAATTTGCCATTTTGTAGTATTTTGTTTTTACATATTATTTGCCATTTTGTATTATTTTGTATGTATGTACTGTTTTATGTTGTCACATGCCCATATGGGCCCTGACGTATTCAAATAAACCTTGAAACCTTGTTCTGCAGTGATCTCCCCTTACTGACCGTACGGTTGCGGAAGTACCGCCTCTCTGTTAATGGGCGTGGTTTAGGCTTTGTGACTTGTAATTTAATGATTCGACAAGTGATATGATATTGATCAAAGTTGACCTGGTTTCCTTCTGCCCCGTCAACGAAGACTAATGCTAGCATACGGAGCATCATTTTAAATTTTTGCGACAATTTAAGGCGGAGCCGAACTTCAACAGAGACGGAGCAAATGAAGTAAGTGACACTGCCTCAGTCATTACCTCTCTCAACGGTTAAGTTTTAGAACGATCGACTATAGACTGGCTCATTGGCACATAATTTATTGTGTAGATAAAATGAGATAATGATTATAAAGAATATGATATTCAAACATGGCATTATCATTTCAGTTAGACGTTTATTCAAATCCCTTAAAGCTCCGTGACATGTTGTACATCAGAAGAAAAGCTATTTTTATTAGAAAATTTGAGAATGGTGGGATTTTGTTAAAACAAAAAAAATACACAAAATCAAGTCTAAAATTTTCCCCATTGCTGTATGGACAAATGCATATCTACTAGACGCCGCTTGCAAGCGGCGTCTAATAACTATTCAAGGCATTTTTATTGATAATGTAATAATATATCTGAAAATTTAGAAAAATCCATGTAAAGTTGTTATACAATATTAACTTTCATTTCACTTGGCTCTAATCTGGTCTCAAGCTATTTTCACAAGATGCCCTAGTAAAGGTAAATTGCCAGGGGCGTAGCTAGACCGAAATTGATGTTTCCTGGATTTTCACCATTTATAGATGCTATAATCATGCATTTCCATGTCAATTTGAGGTCCATAAAATAAGAAATTTAAGTCAAAATAAATTTATTTCTATCATCGTATTTGCTAGATCGTATAACAATATTTCAAGGAGGTCTTTTATGAACGTTATACGTTATAAGGATATACATTGCATGAATTTAACAGACGCAGATAATGACCCTGTCACTTAATCAGAAAATAAAAGTGACATACGGCGATTTTTGCGTCGTGCTAAAGTATCTACTACAACGTCAGCCTGAATCTCCTTGTCTCTGTGAATGTGCAAAAGTCCTCATCCCGAGAGACAACCAGTGGTCATCGTTGAGTGCAAAAAGGTCTTCAGCCTTCTCATGCTGCTGAATGACCGTTCAGCGCTCGCGGTAGACACTGGCATTGACAGGAGCAAATGCAGGCACCTGCTAACATTTGGATACAGCACTGTCGGTAAATCCTGTAGCACATTTTCTATTGTTGACGGACCCTGCAACAGCGAAGATTCGCACCGTGTCTTCCAGCGTCCACATTCGCGCAAAAAGGTTTCCTGATCGTCCACCAAATCCTCTTGTACGATAGAATAAATTTCATTCATCCGTTGACGGTCCAAGTTGCATACCCTGTCTGGCAAGAGAAACTGAATAACGTATCTCTCGTTATTTTGAAGAAGGCGAACTTCTATCTAGGAGACAATGTGATCCACAAATGGCAGATACATGTTGATACGCCAGTACTCTGATGGAGTTTGAGCGGGTGCATTAGAGCGATTTTTCTGTCTACCCCCACGCGGCAAAGAAGGCTGGACATCAACAGAATCTGCCATGCTGACTGCCTTCTCATATAAGGCATCCCACACCAACGGATCATTTCTCTCAGCCGTTACCTGCGTTTTGATAACTTCTGCTTCGGTGGCAGCTTGGACTAGATCACATGTTGTTGACTGGAGAAGCTTGGATAGCTGCACACTCCCTGACAATACATGTTCAATAGCTACAAGAGTTATTATAAAACTGAACTGTGTAATTGCAGCTCTGTATGATCCGGCTTTTGTGTCGTTGTTTTCGCTCAACCTCTCTAGTGATTTGACAACCGTCCCGTACGCTGTTTTAAAAGTGTACAGCGCGTCCGCTCTGGCTGCCCATCTAGTTTCACAGAGCGTCTGCAGTTTCTTACGCTTGTCCATTTCCGCTCGTTCTTGGTCATTTTCAGCTAAGGATGCCTGGAACTGTAAGAGACGTTTGGCCGAATAATCGAACAGAAATGCTATCTCTTGGACCGTGCCCATCATGTTGCGTGCAAGGGGTTCCTTTGATGCATGTACAATTGCAAGGTTGAGAGAATGGGCCTTGCAGTGTGTACATAGTGCCTTAGGAAATTTCTGTCGAATACGCGCCTATACCCCTCGATATTGCCCGGCCATATTGGCAGCGCCGTCATACCCTTGTACTCGCATTTTCTGATGGTTCACTCCAGCTGTCTCGGGGTTTTGAAGAAAGGCATTCACGAGAGTCTCGCCGGTGGTGGCAGAACAGTTTGCATAGCACAAGAAATCCTCGCAGACCGGGAACGTGCACTGTCGTAGTACCTAAAAAGCGACAAAAGTAAATACTGCAATATAATTTTGTATTTTTAAAACGAGAACAGTGAGGATCCAAAAAAAGAAATATCTATAAAATACTTTTAAATTATCCATAAAATAATATCAGTGACACTTTCTGACACAGTATAACATTCACACAGTGCTTTATTTATTTATTTATTTATTTATTTTTGGGCGAGCGTTTTCATTAGTATCATTTCATCGATATTTAAATTTACAGAAATTAATGCCCTTTCTTCTTATTTTAGATTTTTGTTTCTCAATTTACGTATCGTTACGAACTAAAAGCTAAGATGTTATCAGAGTGTGCTACGCTTTTGTTTCTCAACCTGATATATAGCATATTCATTCAATCATAATAAGCATATATCATCTAATTCCTGCAATATAGTTCCACTGTGTATAAGCAGTAAATATTCGTATATATTCGTGTAAGTTCATTACTGAATTTATTGGACGAGTTGAATGAAATAATATTTTGCTCCCGAGACTGAATAATATAATTTTTTTCAACTCGTTCAATAAAAATAAATTCAGTATTTGAATAAAACATTATTTTGCTCGCATAATATGATTTTATTCAACTTGTTCAATAAATTCAGTATTGAACTTACACTCATTCATTATCCTGTACTTATCACATAACCGTGTCGTGCATATTTTTTTAACGTGACGTCTTTTTTCTCGTATAAACATAGCGTTAAGACGCGTTAAATGTTAGCGTTATATAGTACTATAGGCGCGTCAATGAAAAATGGTTCTTTTTCACTGCAAACGGTCTTTTTTTGGTATGTGATAAATAGAATATTAAATTCATGTAAGTTTAAGACACGAATATATCTTATGCACCTATATTACAATAAAAAAATACGTTTTTATTATTTATTGTTTTTCATTGACGCACCTAAAGTGTTAAAGTGTGATAGAATGACGTTATGGTTATAATGCTACTTTACATGTACAGTACATGGAAAAACAAGCGACGTTACGTGATTTATTTTATGATTTTATGATATGTAATTTTGTATGTTTATGACCATATTCAACGCATATTTATTTTATGTCTATATATGTGTTGAAACTAAAAGAGATATACAAATGTATATTTTTATACTTACACAATAATGAATAAATAACTCAATATACTGTAAAGTTATATGTACCTAAGAACAATAGCCATTTGCTCCATGGTCGCCGCATCTGTGGCCTCGTCGGCAATAAAGCCGAAGAATGGAGCGGCGTTGCATGCCTCCACAATTGTTTTACTGATGATCTCGCCACATATAGAGACTAACTCGTTTTGAATTTCGGGCGAGGTGTATTTCGTACGAGGATTGCCGTGCTCAAGGTGGTCCCGTAAGACTGTATTGTGCTTTGCCTGAAGTTGAAGAATTGCGGCGAAGTTACTCCTGTCGTCTTGGTGACCCCGAATCGCAATATTCTGCTTTCCGCACAATATCAAAGTGTCCACAACAGCAACTAATATTTTCCGGTTTTTCTCAACGGTCTGTTCATGTGCGCTCGATAGACTGCATACTATGTCCTTTTTGTCTCCGGTAATCACAGAAATAAAGTTGTGGGCAGCCTCGCAGGATTCTCTATGCAATTTTGAAACTGCATGAGCTTGAATGGTTTTTCCGATGTTGCTGGGGTCGACAAGAGGGACAGCTGCGAGTGATTTTTGTTTAGAGGTTTCATCTTTACCACTGAATAAAAAACACGGTGCACAGTATACGCCCTGCTTACTTGTTGAATAACGCTACCATGTGTTATCGACAAACCAACGGAACTGTATCTTTCGAAATTTTCCTCCAACATATCTGAAAATAAATTATAAAAAAGAAAACGTTATTAAAAGGAGCGGGAAAAAAAGAAGTTACCAGGATTTGAACCTACAGGGGTACGCGATTTTTAGCACTGCAGTTCTGTGCTTTAACCTACTGAGCTACGCGGGACATCGATAACGTGTATGATAAACATTAATATATCCTATTCATATGAATAAAAAATGAAGGAAAGCATATATTTAAACAAAATTTATGACAATAACTTATTGTAAATCTATAACATAATTATGTAAAGGGAACTATAGGCCTAGTGATTTTTTTAAAAATTAAAACAGAGATAGATCAAAAACAAAGTACTTTTAAAAATACAAACAACTAGATTCTAGACCTAGCTCTAATCTAGTTAATCAATCACAAAAGGTTAAATAGAAGCCCCTTACTTGCTCGGAAATGCGTAATGATGAACAGAGTACCACTTTGCGTTTAGAAGTTGGGTCTTTTCGTTAGCGTCTAGTGACTGCTTCAAGAAGACATCTCCGTAAGGAGGGTCACAACATTTATCGCTCGCCATTTTAAAAATACGCGCGCTATGTAACTTTCGAAGGGGAACTACCGCTATATGATCGAACGACGCATATATGGATTAACTCTCTTTACGTAGACAAAGCATTACAGTAATTAATAGTGATAATTTATGAATGCAAAGCCTATTCACTCTATATAGTCATCATAATTGTTTTTTAAGGCTTTGGAAATTATTAAATAAATACTTCGAAGATCTATATTTTTTATTTAATTAATATTGGAAATTCCGAATCATGCCTCTAAACCTTCCAATATCACCCTCACCCATACCCTTTAGTTTTCTCACCGTTTTTAGCATATTTGAATTTTTATTTTCCTGGATCAATGTTACGCACGTGCGTAAGTGCGTAACGCTAGCTACGCCCCTGATTGCTTAAATAACTTAAGTGATATATCACGGTCTAATATTTTATCAGATAGACAATAGGGTATGTAAGTCTCGTCATGTGACTTGCGAGATTTCACGATATTTTGCACTTCCGGGTACAAACAAATATCAACAACATTGCTTATCTATATTGGGTAATACTTGTATGCCGGTGGGAAAGTAAAACTTACATGGAAAAGCAAATGATATGTGGAAATTGGCAGAGTTTTTTGTTTTGTAACGAAATGCAAATGGTTTCATCTTGTGAACAAGTATCAATGAAAGACAACTTCGTATAATCTTCAGGTGGGTGTGTCATTTCAAATTCAGTTTATCCCAATAAATGTTGTAATATTTTCATTTCCATTTGTAAATCTAATAAATTTGTTTTTTGATACAACATCATTCGCATCTGACACCAGACTGGTGAAATTTGATTTTATCAATTTTCTATAGCGCTACCTGATTATCTCTCAGAAGTATATAATGTTTAGAAATTTCGGACAGCGCATATTTCGGATAAACGTTTCAATATGATTATCAGTGTGTTTTTAGTTGGAATATATTTTTCTTCCAACTGAAAATATTATTTATTTATAATTATTATCTTTAAAAGCACAAACAGTCAAGCTGTATATAACCAATTTAAATTGTAATAAAATTCAATGAAATATTTTGCTCCTGTAGATATTTTGACTGAGGACAGTGGTGAAGATGAAAGACGTCAATATCCATTGTAAAATACACATGCATGCCTCTGCTGTAAAATCGTTTTGGTAAGAAATATATACTTAAAGCTACTTAAACTACATTAATGAAAAATAAATATTATTGTATAACATATAATGTTCTCGTTTTTGTAAATAATTACAGTGTAGCTAAATAAACAAACAGTATGGCATATGTAGTTAATTCATGTTAAATACTGTTTAAAAGTATTTTTCTCATGTAAGTGGGTCATAATTTTTAGTTAAATCATGTTCAGTAAATGGTTAAAAGAACTTAGTTCACTATCACATTTTTTAAAGATCAGTTTGTCAAAGCAAATCTACAAAAAACTAGGAACACCAAGAAGTGTTTCTTCCTTTTCAACATTATTTTCTATTCAAGACAATATGATAATGATTGAAATTTATAGCTGACCAATTATTATTGCTTTCAACTCATGAATAATTTTCTTTATATACAGGTATGTGATTTCATGGTTGGATCTTGAGTACTTGTCATGGCTCTTGATTTATTTTGGAGTGTTCACCATCAGATTAGAAATCAAATAGTGATACCACCAGGCATAGTTGAAAGGAAATGTCCATACACAGTCTTGGAGTACATAGTGGTAGAGACATGGCAGTCCATTACAGATTTTGACTGAATTAAAGCTTCTTAAAGCTCCATGTCTTGTGTAAACTGTCTGACTGAATGCTTGTATTCTAATAAAAACTAAGGTTGAAGACACTTCAAAGATATATGTCAGTGTAAAAATGTTAAACAAAATATCTGTCTTTGTTAGAAATAAAATAACCTGTCTTTATTAGAAATAAATAACCTGTCATTTGTAACTTTGTATTAACTTAATTATTCAAAGATAATTTATCTTCTGCAAATGGCTGCCCAAAACAGTTTCAACCAGGCATCATGTAGTTTCAAAACAGTTAAGATAAATTTGTTATAAATAGACTTGTAAATTACAGGAATGGTAAAAAGATAAATGTTCAGCATTAAAATGTTTCTATCTTGATTGAGTTTCATTTCATATTATCACCATGATCACTGCAATTGTAAAAAGTAATGTAATCTATAAACCATTATTTAAATATCATAAAATCATCTCAAAGAAAAACTTGTTTCTGAGGCAAGATGTGTAAAATTCCTTCAAGTTATAGCCTTTCACTGCTCTTAGAAAAGCCATGATTTGCATTGTACATGGCAGGTAGTAATACCAGAGTAAACAATATTAATGCAATTCATTCTGTGTTGAGTATTCTGTAGCAAAACACTAGCTTGCTAGCCCTTGTAAGCCCAAGTCTCTCTCTTAATTGGAGAAGACTTGCAATTCTGCATTCCTTGAAGATTTTAGTATCAGAGGGTAGTTTATTACATACCAATATACTTCTTTGGGTTTCAAATTACCTGTTTTATAATGTATTGAACCTGTTGACATTTGACCAAAAGTGAATTATCTATACAATACATGCAAAACTTAGGGTTTGCACTTGATACAAAACAATAACATCACTGATACATTAATATACCAATTGGAACTGTTTCAAAATTGTCAATGTTTCAAAAAACAACAACAAAAAACAAAAACACACACAATGCTTTTAACTTTTGTCCATGTACATATGTGTAAATGTAGTCATTGAAGAGCTGTCAATTGAAGAGCTGTGAAGAACTTTTCATCAATATTATTTAGATAGTGTCTGTTTCGATTTCAGGACAGACAAAATTCAAATGACATGCATAGTATTTAATATAGTCAATGCTTGCATATTCAAGCAATCTAGCCATTGCTGTTAGAGAATTAAAGTACACAGTGACACTTATTTTGCAGATGAACTCTTATGATCAAGCACTGCTATAAATATATGCCAAATAGTAGAAACAAAAAACAGTTCATAAGTTTAATAAACTTTTATTTTTACACAATTTATAGTGCACTGCTTAGCATATATATCACACTGATTTTCCAGTGGAAGAAAAACTCAGGAAAGCACTTGGAATTATTATTAGTTATTTGGACAATGTAACTTTACACTGTGAATGTCTACTGATACAAGAATAAGAGTATTTCCTTTTACAAATGTAAAGACTTTGAAAATTAACATGAACAAATTATCATAGAGTTATAAATCATATTCTAATTGAAAAATGTTCAGCTTGATATCAAAGCTTTGATTGCAAATTTGTGAGCTTATCAATGATTACCTCACAATATTAGTAGTAGATGATATATAATATTTTTGCTAATCTTTACTTCATAGTCATTTAATGTCCATAATGTCATATGACTCTACTGTGATTCCATGAAAAAACCTTATCTCTGGTGTGTTATCAGCTTTGGTATATATAGAGTATCTAGTTTAAATACTTAAAACTGCAATGAAATGTGGATATTTTACTCTGTTTCTATCATTGTGACATTAACATGTTAACAAGATCATAGTGTCAAACACCATAAAAGCATTACTCTTTATACATTAAGATTTTTGTGCTGGATGTCATTCATCTTCTTCAGGAAAGTACATTTGACTATTTTCAGTGGCTTATAAACAAGAGCTGTCAGAAGGACAGCGCGCTCGACTTTTTTAGTGCTTGCCTATAAAACAAAACTTTGACAGTTAAGGGCACACAAGACTTTAACTAGGAATTTCTAAGTACAAATCAAGAAACATTTTCACAGAGTTATCTTCTCTTGCTTACAGATAGGTCTCATGATGGCACATAAGAACTCCAACTTCCAAAGTAATATCTCAAATGGTTAAGTCAACAAGTGGACAAGAATGAAAATTTTAACTGAGTTTCTAAGTCAAAAAGGGCCATAATTCAAATAAAATCCTTAACAGAATTACCTTCTCCTGCCCATGTTTTGGGACCATGATGGTAAACAAGTATTCCAACTTTCAATTTAATATCTCAACCAGTTCAGTCAAAAAGTTGACTGGTACAAAAAAGTTAACCAAGATTCTAAGTCGATAAAAGGCCTTAATTTTTAAAACAAATCCCTGACAGAGTTACCTTCTCTTGCGTACAGATGGGGGTAATGATGTGAAATAGCATTAAAAGTTTCAAAGCAATATCTCAAAGGGTTAAGGCAATAAGTGGATTTTACCCATATTCAATGTATTTTCTAAGTCAAAAGGGGCATAATTCTGTCAAAAACCTTGACAGAGTTATGTCCTCTTGTCTGTTGATGAAGGTCGTGATGGTAAACAAGTATGGTCAGTTTCAAAGCAATACCTCCAATGGTTTTGAAATAAAGTGAGGTGGTACAAAACACTTAACCAAGCTCAATACACTTTCTAAGTCAAAAAAGGGCCATAATTCTGTCAAAAACCTTGACAGAGTTATGTACTCCTGTCTGTAGATGGAGGTTATGATGGTGAACAAGTATGGTAAGTTTCAAAGCCATACTTGTAATACTTCTGAAATAAAGTGGGGTGGTACGAAAAACTTAACCAAGGTGTGACGCCAACGCCGACGCCAACGCCGACGCCGACGCCGACGCCGGGGCGAGTAGGATAGCTCCCCTTTTCATAGAAAAGTCGAGCTAAAAACTAATATTTCACTGTAACTGTGTGTTCTCTGATATCATTCTCAAATTAAGGAACTGGAAGATGGTAGTTGCAATAAAGGTCTTCATGGACAAATCCTCCTTCATCTTTTCCCTTTTAATCTGCAGAATGAAAAATCAATAAATATGTTGTTACAAGTGTAAGGACACTAGAAATGATATTTACATTACATTTAATAAGCTGGTCATGATTGACAGAAAAAATTCATATTTGAAGTAAATAAACATTAAAGATAAACAACAACACATAATATATAACAGTCAAAATTATTGATCTTCTTGAATGTGAAACATGACTATTTTTAATGTTTTATTTACTTATCAA